ATCGGCTTCTTTTCAAAAACAACAAGGGCGCTTTGTCGGCTTCTGCAGTAAAACGTGAACTCGCGATGCCTTGAAAGTGGACAAAACCGGCTTTTTTTGACAAAACGTGTTTAGGGTTCAGATCGCGCTATATGTGGAGAATAATGCAAGGCAATCAGCTCTTTTTTTTTTTTTTAAGTGGCGTTTATCGGTTTTTGCAAATGAACTCTTCATATATACTCATATCTCACAATTGCAACTTTATTTCTTTATTTTTAAAAAATTTGACATTGTTTCTTATATATGTGACTATATTTATAAGCCATGATTTTTTTTTTAAACTTTATTTCACAATTACCTTTTTATTTTTGAATCTTTATTTTTATGTAGGCTATATAAACTACAATACTTTTTATTAATACTTTTATTTAGCAAGGACACATTCTATTAGTCAAAAGTGACAATAGAGACTTTTACATAAAAAAAAAAGAAGTTCGCTGCTGTTTTGAACATTCTATTCATCAAAAAACCCTAAAAAAAAAAGAATCAGCACAACTGTTTTCATTATTGATAAAACCAAGAAATGTTTCTTAAGCACCATATCAGCATATTATTATGATTTCTGGAGGATAATGAGACACTGAAGACTGGCGTAATGGCTGCTGAAAATTCAGCTTTGCAATCAGGAATAAAATACTTAAAAAACAGAAAACAATTATTTTAAATGGTAATAATATATAAGAATATTACTGTATATAGTACAATACAATATAATATAAATGTAACTAAATATAATGAACTATAAAAAAAGAAAACTCTCTGAGCAATACAATTTTACTATGGAATCATTGTCATAAGCATACCTGAATGAATTGCTCAACATAATAATAATAATAATAATAATAATAATAAAATAAGTAAATAAAACATGTCTTGCCCTCAGAATAAATAAGTAATTCATCAGACTACAATTTTTCAGCGTTCATAGAGATCCATTGTTACATTTTATAATCTTTTGGGTTTTTCCAAATCGAAATTTGGGCATGATGTGAATAGGCCTCACTGATGTTCGGCCCAAACATGAAAAAGTCTTTAGTCATGCCACACATTCCTGAGCCTGTGGCGCAAACCCTCGTCATCTGCTCAACAACAATGTGTCATTCTGAGGAACCCAGACAGAGAGAGAAGCAGAGAGAGGGAGCTGTTCTCTCTCAATGGAGATGAATGAGACGGGAAACGCAATCCCCTGGTGCTGGGTGCCCTTTGCCCCCCAGTGAGGGGAGAAGTAACAGGGGGGCCAGCTGTCTCCTACAATGGACGAGCTCAAAGAACCTCATTCAGACCTGCCTCACCGAGACTGCATCGTTGCATGCGTGCAACTGACAATGCGGGCACACAGAGAGGCCACACTTCTGCTCCGATGTCCCAGAGGAAGTATAAGACGTGGACGTTCAATCTGGCGACAACTCATACTCAAGCATCACATTTAGGAGTCGCAGCTGCTTGTGAACATTTATGAACTCTGAGGGGGGTCGCACTGCCTTTTCTGGCTTTCTCTCCATGCTGCGCTCTCGTTTCTTTCATCCTCCCTTTTAAATATGCTATTTCCTGTGTCTTCCCTGTTATCCTGTCCAGTGATTATTTGTCGTTTACAGTGCGTGCCTTAGGGACAGACCCCTGTAGTAATTACCCCCAGTCACCTGAGTACACATTTCCACACTCACCACAGGACCCCAGAAATCTTGTCATGAGGGAGTGAATCTGTGGCCTGACCAGTAGCAGCGGCTGTAGGTGTCTCTTAAACAACCCAGCTGTCTATGCTAATGTTTATTAACTTTACTGTGTGCTGCTGAATAGCTTTAAGACAAAAGAAAGTGAATCATGTCACATTATATTAGATCCAATGTATGCTACATACTCTAGGATAAGTTGTTTAAAACTGTTACTTCTAATAAAATGAATATTACTTCGACAGACATAGTTTAAAAGATTCTGTTATTGCAAATCAGTGGCCTAGAAAAAGCGAGGAATCAACATGCATATAAAATCTATCTATCTATAAATAATGATTTTTATCTATTTAGTTAACTTAAGGTATTAAAATAACTAAAACTAGTAAAAAAGACTAAGAAAAAAAAACTATGTAGATAAAAAATTATAAAAGTTGCACAAGCACACAACAAAATTATCAAAATTTTAACTAAAATTAAAGTTAAAAATAATATATATAAAATGATATATAAATTAAAATACATAATAAAATTAATGAATATACATAACCAATTATTAACTATATATTAATAATAATTA